GTTGAACATAAAGTAAACAAAAATAATGACCACCGAGGACCTTCACAATTTCAACCTAGAGAATGAAGAAATGGAAACAGTAAAAGAATTCCCATACCTGGGATCAAACACTGATAGAAATGAGGACTGCAGCCAGAAAATCAGACGAAGATTAAGAATGAACTATGAAAGAACTAGAAAAAAATATAAAATGAAAAGATATACAACTCACCACAAAAGTCAGAATCATACAAGCCATTGTATTCCCTATTATTATGTATAGATGTGAGAGCTGGACAGTTAAAAAAGATGATAGGAAGAAAATCAATTCATTTGAGAAGTGGTGCTGGAGTAGAGTGTTGAGGATCCCATGGACAGCCAAACAAATTGGTCTTAGAGCAGATCAAACTAGAAACCTCCCTGGAAGCCAAGATGACCAAACTGAGGCTGTTGTACTGTAATAAGAACTTGACCTTGGAGAATTTATGATTAGCTCAAAAATTATGAGTAGGATCAGGACCCATTGTGTGCAGGGGGATGGAGGTAAGATTCCTTGCAGAGACAGCATTTTTCTAAAAGAATGGTACTTCTATTAAGAGAGAAAAATAAATCAACAAGCAAGCCCACACATACACAAGGGATACATGAAATCTGTAAGAAAAGTTTCACACACAAAAATAATTACCTATAGACTCAGCATTCCTTGTAGAAAAATGGACCCAGCTGCTTGCTTATCAACAGCTGAAGGAAACTGGCAAGGAATTTCAGAGAGGGAGTGAAATCCCCCCTTCCATTCCAAAACCAGCTCTCAAAACACAGATTTTTGAGATCTTGATATAGGCTGAAAACATCCTGGAGCAAAAATTGATTATTGTGTATCAAAGGATTCTGATTACTACTCTTTGAAGTAGACAATTTCCAAGGAGAGAAGATGGGATGTTGATGTTATCTCATTCTTAGCCAGTTGTACATCTGTGTCTCCAGAATTCAGAGGGTGTAAATGTCCTGCTCGCAGCTCCTAGGCTTTGGGCCTTTTGATCTGTAAATTAATGTAAGTGCAGATGTGACCTTTCAGGTGCCTATGTGTTGGGCTCGCCTTGAGTCTATGGCAAAAAGTGTTTTTCCCAGTCTATGGCCATGGCAGGCACTAACAAATGGGTTTTTTAAAAATATTAAATCTGTTATTGTAACAGTACTTTGGACACATCACGAGAAGGGTGGACTCATTGGAAGAGACAATAATGCTAGGAAAGGTGGAGGGAAATAGGAAGAGAGGAAGGCCACATGCCAGATGGATGGACTCTATTAAGGAGGTCACGGATAAGGGATTATAGGAATTAAGTAGAGCAGTGGAGGACAGAGGGTCTTGGAGATGTCTCACCCATAGGGTCACCATGAGTTGAGATCGACTTGAGGGTGATTAACAATAACAAAAACAAATAGAGCAAAAGGAGAATATTACGAAGACAGATATATTCTCTCCAGTTCTGTAATGCAAGCATCTGCCAAGTAAACCAAATATACTGTCAATACTTGGAAAATTCATTTGAAGAAGTAATTTATTATAGAATTACAGAAGTAATTAACATCCAAGGCCCTCCAAACTATGTAAGTACTGCTGTTCCTTCAACTTGACTTTGACTTATGGTACCCAAAATAGGCCTAAATAATCTAAAGTCACCTGATCCTGTTTAATCTTGGAAGCTAATCAGTGTGAGTCCTGATTAGTATTTGGAGGGGAGACTACCAACAGTACCAGATGCTGTAGGCCAAGGGTAGGCAACCTTTCCCCTTTAAGGGCCGAGGGACTTCAGCTCCCAGAATCCTGGGAGCTATTGGCCAACATGGAACTATTGACCAACATGGCTGAGGCTTCTGGGAGCTGAAGTCCCTTGGCCCTTAAAGGGGAAAGGTTGCCTACCCCTGCTGTAGGCTATATTTCAGAGAAAGGTACTGACAAAACCACCTCTGAGTATTCCTTGCCTATGCAAATCTTATGAAATTCATGGGATCACCAAAATTCAGCAGGCAAGCAGAAGGCACATAACACATAAATTAATGGAAAACTGCCAAGAATCTCCCCCCCCCCCCCCCCCGCTGCCATCTATCAGTTATCATACTGAGTCTTGCAAACTCAGGGGTGTGGTTACTTTGATGAATCCTTTCACCTGTAAGGTACTCTATAGTTTGTTGTTCTGTGCTTTCAAGTCATCTCCAATTTATGGAGACCCTAAGGTGACCCTATCATGGGGTTTTCTTGGTAAGATTTATTCAGAGGAGGTTTGTCATTGCTTTCCTCTGAGGCTGAGAGCATGCGACTTGCCCAAGGCCCCAATGGATTTCATGACTGAGCGAGGAATTGAACCCTGGTCTCCAGAGTTGCAGTTTTTCACTCAAACCACTATGCCACACTGACTCAATTTTATAGTTACAGTTTTAAAAAGTAACTCTTTGCTTTCCTGTTTTCCCAAAAAAAAAATCACCAAAGTAGTTACTTTTGTTACTTAAAAACACACATACTACAAACCTCTGGCCTTGCCACAAAGCACACTCTCCTACTGTTGATCCTGTCAATATCCAGGACAAAACACAATATGTAAACCAAGCCTTATGAGAAGTGACCTAGGGAGATGGGTATGTTTGCCTTGGAGAAGACTGAGTGGTGACATTATAACCCTCTTTAAATATCTGAAGAAATGTCATGTAGAAGGTGGAATGAAGTTTTTCCTGCTCTTCCAGAGATTAGAACAAAAAACAATGGGTTCAAATGATAAGAAAAGAGATTCCACCTAAAGTGAAGGAAGAATGTTTTTTACTGGAAGAGCTGTTTGACAGTGGAATAGAATGCCTCAGAGGCTGGTTGATTCTCCATCTTTGGAGATTTTTAAACAGAGGTTGGATAGGCATCTTTCAAAAGAGCTTTTGCTGTGTATTCCCACATGGCAGAGGATTGACTAGATGGCCTTTGTGGGCCCTTCCAATTCTGAGATTCTATGATTCTATATCTACAGCCTTGGCAAACAGTTCAACCATGGGCTATTCCTCCTCTAACGTTTAGCAAGGTCTCACCCTTGTAATTATAAAAGCAATTCTAAGTGATACAGTTCTACCCCAAAAACTGTGAGGTTATTTCTCATTATGGTATAATAAATTACAGTACACCTTTGTTAATAGAGAAATGGTGGAATTATAAGTAATTCATTGTAGCAAAGCAAAGTTACTTACAAGCTCTGCATAATGATCAGCATCCAACAATATGCAAATAGACTTTCACTGTTACAACAGAATGCACACCACATCTTGGCTCTCAAATCTGTTCCAGACAGTCCCTTAACCCATGCAGGGCTGTATGGTTGGCCCTCCACATTTGCATCTTGTCTTTTCCAGATTTGATTATTCACAGATTTTACTAATATGTTCTCTCTAGCAATCTCTAGGTCATTCAGTGGAACTCTGTAGTCAATTTCTGCAAAAAGTCATGCTGGAGGATCTAAAGATTCCTAGAGAGAAAACTTCTCTAGGCATTTGTAGGTCCTCCAGTGCAATTCTATGGTCCACTGCCAACAGATGTTGACCAGAGTTATGCTGGAGGACCTAGAGCAGGGGTAGGCAACCTTTTTGAGCCGGGGGCCGGGTTGCTGTCCCTCAGACAATTGGGGGGCCGAAGCACCAAAAATAAATAAATAAATAATAAAAATAAAAAAATAAAAAAATATGCATGCACATTCTCTCAGCCCCAGAAAAACCATGGCAAAACCTCTGTGGAGATTTTGCCAAGAAAACCCCAAGAACAAGTAATAACAACAATAATCAATATCATCATGGTGGGTGGCGGCAGTGGCGGTGGGTGGTGGCGGCAGGACTGGCCTGGGGCCTGTCCAAAGGCCTTGGGGGGCCGCA